GCCGCCGGAGCAGAGCAGCTGGAGCCGGGGAGGAGAAGTGCCGGGCCGGCGGCTGGGATCCGGAGGCAAGGGGCTGCCCGAAGCCGGTAGCACTGGCTTGGGCAGCTTGGCTCTTAAACAGAGCCGAAGTTTGAGTCGGGGAGGAGCAGAGCAGCCGCGGGAGAGGAAGTGCCCGGCTGTATTTTTCCTGGACATGTTCAGCTTTTTGGCAATTCCCCCCGAACGGGGTTTGATTGCCGAAAAGCCGGACATGTCTGGGAAAAACCGGACGTATGGTAACCCTATGTTAATTGGAAAACATTGCTGGTTTGACAGCCAGGAGCCCAAAGTCCCCTTTCTCAGTCACAGCATGGGCAGCTTCATGCACACGCTGACCTAGAGGGGTCACTTCCAGGAGAGAGTATAGTTCAGTCTCCACAAGCCAATCCTAGTTTAGATGGATGGATGGACAGAGAGAAGCAACTTCAAAGCCCCTGGTTGGTGCAAACAGAGATTTGATTGTATTTCCCCACAGTGTGTATTCCAGATGATTCCTCTTGCCCCTTGCTTGAATAGTGACCCCTACCCCCACCGCACTGGGGAACGAAGGCCAGGAGGTGGCCTTGCTTGGAAGGATTCCAGGATCTGATTTAAATTAGCATATGGTGACTCTGCCTGGACATCTCCAGGCTACTAAATATAGTGCAGCAGCCGCATGAGTGAATCTCTGGGTGCAGCAGACACGATGGATTGGAACAAAGCCACAAAAAGGCTCCTTTACTGAACAGGGTGGGGAGGACCAGGCTCAGAGGTTAACCAGCACTGAACAGCATCACCTCAATCCAGAGCCCTCTGCATATGCCAGGGCAGGAACACTGTGCTAGCTGTCAAGGCTGATGGACTCCTCCAGTAGCAACAGGTGAGTTTGGAGCAAACCTCTAGCTCTCTTTTAGCAACACCCCTCTCTGTGCTGCCAGGTGCTGCTGGGGGTGTTGCAGCCATGGCAGTATCTTCCCACTGCTCTCTTATGGCAGTCAATATAAGCGCTGTTTCAGTGCTGCTGCTGAGTGAGCAGCCTGACTGAGCAACAGCTGGCACCATGCAGCTTCTCTCTGCAGTTTCCCTCAGCGGATCCCAGTCTCCCAGCCTACAAACTCTTCCTCAACTTGGATGTCTAGGAATTACCCCTTTCCCATTTGGGGCCCTCCCCCTCCCTGGCCAGGGGTCTTCTAGCAGAGACAGGCAAGTCGCTCTTGAGAGGTGCTCTATGGGCAAGGTGACATTGTGAGGAAAACAGGGGCATTTGTTTGTGTTTTCCACTCGGCTCCTGGCGAGGCGTTAGGGACAGATTAGTTTCCTGTATGTTCTCTTCCATTGATAAGTCAGCAGAGACTCCACAGGGCCTTTCCAGAGTGCGACTGTGCCCAAACTCCAAGCACTGCTGTTGAAAGGCTCTGAACACACCCACTGCCATGGGCTGCTTGTCAGTAAACCTGCAATGGAATGGATCTATTTCATGGGACATGCACACCACACTGCACCCTGGAGTGGGTGGGGGGAGAGGGCTGGGCGGCACCACCACCAGGGGCTTTGATTATGCATTGGTTGGTTCAGCAGGCATCATAGCTCACAGCATATTTATACAGTAAAGTCATGTTACAAGAAACTCAGCATCTGTCCCTATACAAACACATCCCTCCCTCAAAGAAATGGGTGAGCTCTTAGAGGTGGAGCTAACAGAGCTCACTGGGCCTACTGTCCCATATACTATATGTGATTAACTAATGATTCTGGTTTCTCTGTGTTTATGTGGCAATAGGTTGTTGCTTGGTCAACAATAAAGGAGAAAAGAGAGGAAGTAACCTATGTGAGAAGGGACAGTGACGCACAATCAACCTGTGGAACGCCTTGCCAGAGGATGTTGTGAAGGCCAATACCATAACAGGGTTCAAAAAAGAACTAGATAAATTCATGGAGGATAGGTCCATCAATGGCTATTAGCCAGGATGGGCAGGGATGGTGTCCCTAGCCTCTGTTTGCCAGAATCTGGGAATGAGCGACAGGGGATGGATCACTTGATGATTACCTGTTCTGTTCATTCCCTCCCTGGCACTGGCCACTGTCAGAAGACAGGATACTCGGCTAGATGGACCTTTGGTCTGACTCGGTAGGGCCATTCTTAGTTCTTATGTTCAGTGCAAGTCAGATAGGCCAGCAACAATTAAAGAGCAACTTCCTCACCACACAGCTCTGGGAAAGAGACTGAGATTGGAGGGGCAGGTGGGGTAGGCAGATATGAACTTGTAGGGTGACCAGCCATTCTGTATTTTAAAGAACATGGCTTATGTGGTGCCTAATGCCCTGTGATATGATCAGTGTCCAAGAAGGAGACTTTAGGAAACACATCTGATTTCCAGTAATAACCATGGAAATGCTCAGGTACTGTGATACCGACATAGGGTTTGTATCATGAGTAAAACACTTTCAGGATAGGCTCTGTCCCATACTTTACAGTTGGCTTCTTCAAATCCCTGGAAAGTCAGGATAAGGAAAGTGATAGAATGAGTAGTTGGCTGTGGAACTAGAGAAGTAAGGGAGATTGGACCACAGAGCAAGTGGGCATAGGATGTAAGTAGGTATGAAACTGGAGGAATACTGAGAAGAGGAAGGAGCGGAGTGGGTGGGGGGCAGACAGCAGGGTGGGTGTCTGAGGTCGAAGAGTGAGAGGAGAGATCAGAGGGGTGAGTGGGCACAGAGGAATGCAGGAGAACTCCTGCAGTCAGAGGGGATATGAACTGAGAACAGACAGGTGGCTTTGGGGCTTGGCAGTGGCCCTACATGCTGTAATCATATGTTTTGTGTTCTTAGAATAAGAAGAAAAGAAGAGGACAGAAAATTTTCTGCCTTGGAAGAGTTGGGTCAGTGACACAATGTCCTCAAAGGGGGGAACTCTTTCACCCCTGAATGACACCTCATGTGGGGCGGACTCTGAGTTCAGATACCTCCTTTTCACCATATTCTACAGCTTCATCTTCATTCTGGGCTTCATTGCCAATTGCTATGTGCTGTGGATTTTCTGCCACGTTTATGCTTGGAGGAAACTAAACGAAATCAAGATCTTCATAGTGAACCTGATAGTGGCTGACCTGCTGTTCCTAATCACACTGCCCCTGTGGATAGTTTACTATCACAACAATGGAAACTGGATTATGCCTCCATTCCTGTGTAACGTGGCCGGCTACTTGTTCTTTGTTAACACCTACTGCTCCATCGCCTTTTTGACAGTCATCACATACAACCGATTCCAGGCAGTGACCAAGCCCATCACAGCCGCTCAGTTCCCCACCCGGAGAAGGGGTATCTTCCTCTCCGCAGCTATCTGGGTGGTGATAATGAGCAGTGCTTTGTACTACCTCGCTAAGGATGGAATTAATGAAATTAACCATGGCACCATCAAGCGGTGTTTTGAGAGCTATAACACCTCTACCTCTGACAACAATGTGCCCGTCCTCGCCAGCCACGTTGTCATATTCATTATTTTTGTCTTCATTTTCCTGTTTATACTGGTGTGTAACTTGTTCATTATCAAGACACTGCTGACCAAGTCAGTGCAGCTGCAGAAGAGCACCCATGTCAAGCAGAGGGCATTCAGGATGGTGTGCACTGTCCTGGCTGTATTCATCATATGCTTTGTACCTCACCATCTCGTTGATCTCCCCTGGACCCTGACGGTCCTAGAGCTGTGGCAGAAGGAAAATTGTCCGTTGCGCCAGCAGCTCAATGATGCCCATCAGGTGATGCTATGCCTCCTGAGCACCAACTGCATGCTGGACCCTGTCATCTACTGCTTCCTCACCAAGAAGTTCAGGAAGCATCTTTCAGAGAATCTTAAAAGCATGAAAGGGAGTCGCAAGTGTTCCAGGCAAACCACTGAAACAGTGATCGAGGGCACAGTGCCCATCAATGACCTCCCCACCACCCCCATGAGAAATGAATATAGCCCTATCTCCTACTGAGCAGGGCTGGGCCACTTGTGTCATCAGCTTCCTCCCACTAAGCCAGGCCGGAGAGGGACACATCAGTGGGCCAGATCTCTGCATTTCCATCAGGAAGAGGAATTATGACCATTCAATCCCTGTATTCACAAATGCAACCAGAGGAATAGGGACCCAGCAGGGTCTGCAAAGGGGCACCTTCTGACACATACCGATGCTTCATGGGGCACTAATCACAGCTCAGTTTGTTTTCTTTTCTGTAAAGAAAAATGCCATTGACCTTGTACAAGTCTTTCTCCCTCCTCCTATCTCCTTGTGGGATCTGTCAGCACTTTAACATGGGAAGGCAAGGGAATTGCCATGAGGCGAGCTCACCCTTATGAATGACAGAGATTCTATGGAATCTGATCCAAGTAACCAGCCTGGAGAGAAGGGGTGTCTGTGAAAGTCGATGAGTATTGGTGATGTGCTGGAAACCTCAGCCATAGCTCCCCCAATCCCTGGGATCCCTATGTATAGATTTTAAGGCCACCAGGGACCATTATCTAGTCTGACCTCCTGCATATCACTGGCTAGAGAATGTCACCTATTCCTAGACCCAGCCCAATAACTTCTGGTTGAGCTAGCACATATCTTTCAGAGAGACCGAATATCAACTGAAAACCTCCAAGTGACAGAGGATGATTGCCAGCATAGGAGTTAAGATAGCAAATTAATTTAATGCTGCTTCATCATCGCTTTTATTTATTATAGATGGGATTATAAAGAGGGAGTGGCCATTGTCCCTAAGCTTGTGCTGCTGGAAACAAAGAAATGTAGCTGGTTGCTTGTTTGAAGACTGTTTTCTGGTATTTTATCATTAATAAACCAACAGCTTGTGGCCACACCCCAGGGCACCCTCCAAACCACTCAACTGCTGCCGTGGTGTTAAGTCCAGTGCAAAAATGTCAAGGGTTTTAAGCTCAGGCATTCAGTCCAGGGTGAAATGGACCCTGCTCCAAACAGTGCTGGCGGCAGACAATTTGGGCCCACAGAAAGCTGGCTAGCCTGAGGGTGCCAGGCTTGGTTACAGAGCAGAAGACACTCAAGGCTCCTTGTCTAACCCTGAGTTGCTCAATACTGAACTTCCTTCAAGCACAGGAAGTAGAACAGGGTGGGGAACTCGGTTTGGTTCTTACATGAGGTTTTGGTTCCTCAATTCTTCTAGAAAAATTTCCCAGCTGGTGATGGGAAAAACTCATCTGCCACATTGACACTGGAAAAGGTTATTTATACCAGTTAGCAGCAGCCTGGTGATACCAGCCAGAGAACTGCTAGGAGCGTTTGTGTGGCAAACTCCAAACCTCTCCAATCATCCGACCAACAATGGTATTATATTATGCCCATATTTCACTGAGAGGATTCCCAGCTCTTCGATCCCCAGTCATCACTGGTGGACCACTGAAACTTTGATATCTGTGAATGGGCAAAAAGTTTAGACTTTTCCTTTCTACTAAGTACCTCACAGTGGTCACCCATGCATTCAGATGCTACAGTGCAGGACATGGATAAGAACCCGATCAGAACTGCATGTGCCTTTGCCTCCTCTAGGCAAGACTACTGCAATGATCTCTGCTTAGGGCTGCCCATGAAGACTACACAGGGGCTTCTTCTAGTGCAGATATGGCCTCCACTTGATTATTAGAGCAAACCATTCTGAGTGCCTAACACTCATGCTCAAACCTTTGCCTGGGATCCCTGTTCATTTGGAATGCAATCCAAAGTAATGGCAATGATCTTCAAAACTCTTAGTGGACTTACTTGCTGGAGGCACCGCCTCTCACATTTATGCCCCACTGTGACAGTTATTGGAGGATGTGGTGGCACTCCCCAGGCATGGTAGCAGAATTTTCTGGTTTTGGAGAACTCTCCCATTGGCGGGCCTCCATTACTTGAGTTTTGCAAATTTCAGAGAACAATGGAAGGGGGTGGTGTTTGCTGCAGAGTTTAAGTGTGTTCATTTTGTACTGTGTGTTCCTGGAAATCTTGCAATAGAGACTAGTTTATGCTACACATTGTGGATAACTTTGTACAAATATGTTTTGCTCCACTGTGCTTAGCTGCTATGGCAATAAGTGCTTTACTACTAGATGTTTGCATTTATTATCAAAGGGCAAAGACAAAGATATTTGCACAGGACAGACAATGCACTCCAGTTGGAATTTTTTTTAAACTTACCCAAATCATTTAAAATATATGTTTAAAAATTTTGCTGAGTTTTTCACTTCTGCTTCTGAGATGATCATTTCAATTTTAGAGGAGGAACAGGATTATACTAATGGGAAATTGTAAACTGCATGCAGGACAAGGATGTCCTGGCCTGACTTAGCAAAATGGATCCTCCAGGAGAGTCTTAAATAAATATAAGACTCTGCCCACTTGTGCGCAATCCTCTAATATTTTTTCTACATTCACCAATAAATGGGGAGGAGCGGTGTGAAGGGGACATGAAGAGAAATGGGGTAGAAAAAAGTGATGTTCTCACCCAGACCAAAATGTAGAAATTCATAAATCTAGCCAAGCTGGATGCTTGTGATGAAATACGCACACATTTTTAAGATAGTGCAAACAGGACTATAAGAATGACATATGTAATGATGAACAGAATCAGGGGATGAGGACTCAGACATAAAGGCCAGAATGGACAATCACAATCATCTAGTCTGACCTCCTGCACAATTGCAGGCTACAGAACCTCGCCCAACACTCCTGCAATAGATCCATAACCTCTGGCTGAGTTACTGAAGTCCTCAAACAATGATTTAAAGACAGAAAATCCACCATTTATTCTAATTTAAACCAGCAAGTGACCCATGCCCATGCTGCAACAGAAGGTGAAAAAACTCCAGAGGAATATTTCTATAACAATGAATAGATGTTGGGGTAGAATTCAAAGGCAACTGATACTGTATTTAACCTTCATTTATTTCCTTTGGTGCAGTAGAAAGTACAACTAAGGTCTACAACCCCGCAAAACCAGGTTGCCATGATATCGCACAGTGTTCACTGGCAGCAATCTTTTTTTTCAAACTACCAAAGAGTAGACTGTCTGGAATGACGAAATAGAAGATTAAAACACAATCTAACCTGTTAAGGGAAAAGGGAAAGAAATGAGGTTTCAGTAGGAAGCCAACTTCTGAAACACTAGCTTGAGCCAGTAGCCAGTAACAGGTCAATAACAAGGAGCACTTTCCAAAAGACTGGGAAAGGGAAGAGCTTTGCACTTTGCTTAAAAAGGTGGGCATCAAATATGCTGGGTTTGAATAGTCCGACTGAAATGATTTAATGGCTGAAAACCAATTATTTTCAGAAACTTTCTGTAACAGAGCAAAATGGAGAGAAGAAAGGTGGTTCCATCCATTACAATGATGAAGTGAGGGTAATGGACAGTACAGAGGACAAACAATTGTGGAGACCCATAAAGTGACTGTTTAGGTCTCCATAAAGTGACTGTTTAACAGTCATATGAAGAATCAGTATTGTGAAGAGGGTTTCAATTTTTTTTTTCAGATTAAGTTTTACATTGTGATTTCTGGTAGGTGAAGTTGAGACCGAATCACCACCTTGCCTGCTGAGAGGATTGATGGTAGCTGTATTCCATGAGCATAAATATTCTCTCTCAGGGCCAACTGCAATACCCCTATTCACATTGAGTAGTCCTACTGAAACCAATGGGATTATATGAGAGGTAATGTACGATTCAGTGTTAAGAGTACCAGCTTGAGGGCCAGGTTATAAAATACTAGGGACCAGGACTCTCTTTTTAGTTGTGTCTTGTATTGCACTGAACATGTTATAATTATATTTAACAAGTAACTAATTCTCAATAAACCACTTTCACACTCATTCAACCTGGTTTTCATTTCTCAGCTGAGTGAAAGGCTTTTACTAGAGAAATTTTGGTTTGGATGTGCTTGTCCTTTCTCCAGTTGGATTTAGCTAGGGAGGTGCTGATTTCCCAATGCCAAGGAATTCTACATGTAGCCAAAAAGCTGTGCCAGATTGGCAAAGTTTATCTTGCATTTACCCTTTGGGCTGCTTGCGAGGATATGGAGGATGGAGTTAAAGAGTATATTCATCCACACATCTTTGTTCACATGATCCACTACATTGTGCCCAAACTACTGTATTACTGGCCATTGCCAGGGAACAGGTTGAGACTTAACATCAGGGACAAGTCAAGTTCCCCTCCTCATTATTGGCAAAGAGTTTTAAAGATTAACCTGAACCAAAACTCTGGTTTTCAAGTTTGGGCCCATTTCTGTTAAAAGAAGAACAGGAGTACTTGTGGCACCTTAGAGACTAACAAATTTATTAGAGCATAAGCTTTCGTGGACTACAGCCCACTTCTTCGGATGCATATATCTGTTAAAGGAGACCGTATGATCTCAAGGTCAGTAACTGTGATACTCAAACTACCAATCATTCCATGTGGGAATCCCAAAGCACTTTCCAAACATGAATGTGTTAGGAAGTATTATTATCCTTGTTTTACAGAGGGATTTACACACAGGAAGTTAATGATAGTGTTAGGATACTGCAAGCTGCTTAGGGGAAAAACCCCAAATCAGCAACCAGTAACTAGTTGCTTGTTTCCCCCCTGATATCAGTGATCGAGAACAAGGGCACATTTAAAACTGATCAAAGGAAATATTTGTTTGCACAGTGCACAATTAGCTTGTAGAACTCACTACCACTAGATATCATCTATAAAAGAGCCCATTCTGTATTCAGTGCAAGGTTTGAGTGGAGTGCAGTAAACAAGGCCAGAGACCACACACTGAACAATGAAGTTAAGGAAAAAGACTGAATAAGAAACCATTCCCTGAGCATCATCCAGTCTCGGCACAGAATGATGCAGGGGTCATGGAGAAAAATAAAATGTGATTATGTAATTAAAGATTGTATCACATGGATATGCATTGGGCAGGTGAATTAGGGTTGCAAGGGCAACAGTAATTCTGGCATTTCCTAATTTCTGAGTGCTTGATTTTGCTTCACATTCTTTCAACACAGTTTTTGGGTAAGCAATCCATAATTACACTGATGGCTATAAGTGTTAGTAAAAAATACTAGTAAAGCAAACGCTGGTTTACTAAGTATACCTCTCAACCTTCAAACCTGCCAGTGTGTGACACAATCATTCAAAAGGTGTGACTAATGACCAAAATGTGGAACACCTGTGTTGTGTTACGTGTAGTACCAGGACTCACCACTTGGACAAAATCCAGCCAGACTGCTGTGATGATGTGGTGAGAAAAACCTTTTTGCTTTAAGTTCACTTAGCTTGTTAAGTTAGATATTTTTTACCTTTTATTTCTTTGTAACCAATTCTGACTTTTATGCCTCATTACTTGTAATCACTTAAAATCTACCTTTCTGTAATTAATAAACTTATTTTATTTTTTATCTAAACCAGTGTGTGTTTGGATTGAAGTGTCTGGAACCTCCATTTAAGATAACAGGGTTTGTGCATATCATTTTCTATAATGAAATGACGGACTATGAGCTTGTACTAAACAGAAGGCAAGAACTGGGCAGGACAAGTCTGGGACTGGGAATTTGCTGGTGTCACTGCAATATAATTCAGGAGTGGCTGGCTGCAAGCACTCATAATTCAGCTGGGAGTGATTTTGCATGCTGGAGGCTGTGTGTATACAGACTAGGAGTGGTTGTTCTCATAGTGAAGCACTGTAAAAGGCAACCCAATTGGAGAGTTGAGGGGACAGAGCTGTTTAACAGTCCAGCTTGTACCCTGGGAAATGTCATAACTACCGCTAATTGGAGCTGAATTATTTGTACTCCCCAAAGGATTGAACTTCTGCTGCACCACAAAACCTGATATGTGTGCCTGGGGCAGCCCTCACTGGAAATGCCAAAGTCAGGGCAGGCTGCAAAAGGGAGAGCAGATACCCACCAGTCTTGTGAGTAACACTGAAGTTAAACTCCCCAACCAGTCACACTGGTTATCAAGAAGCAAAAAAAAAAAAAGGGAATCACATAGTCCCCTTATTGCATTCCAGTTCTCTGGCTCCCAGTCAGCATCTAGATCCACTACAGTGAGAAGTTATTTTAAAACTCTGTTCACTATACAAAATGTTCTTCTGACCCCAAAGGGCCCACATTGCCAGGTCAGTATTAAGTTGGATCTTACTGAAAATATCACACTGCCAGCCAATCCTTTAGCATCTAAAATGAAAGGTTTATTATAAAGAAAAAAGAAAGAACAAGAAGAGTTGTTAAATGGTAAAGCAGTCACATACAAAGATTCAAAGTCCATGTATCAGGTTCTTAGCAGTATTGGTGTCTGCTGGCTTGAAAGTCCCTCTGAAGTACATCCACAGCTTGTTCAGAGCTTCAGTTTGTAGCAAAGTTCCTCCAGAGGTAAGAAGCAGGAATGAAGACAAAATGGAGATGATGCAGCTGCCCTTCAGTCCTTTTGCCATGTGGCTGGTACTTCCTTTGTTCCAAACACAAACTCATAGCACATGGCATTGAAAGGCCTTAGGGTTCTCTCCATAGGCATGCTCTTGCATGCCTTGCTAAGGCTACGTCTTCACTACGGGAGGTGGGGGGGTCGATTTAAGAAACGCAAATTCAACTACGCGGATAGCGTAGCTGAATTCAACGTATCCGAGCTGACTTACCCTGCTGTGAGGACAGCGGCAAATCGACCTCCGCGGCTCTCCCGTCGATGGCGCTTACTCCTACCTGCGCTGGTGGAGTACAAGCGTCTATTCGGGGATCGATTGTCGCGTCCCAACGAGACGCGATAATTCGATCCCCGAGAGATCGATTTCTACCGCCGATTCAGGCGGGTAGTGAAGACGTAGCCTAAGTCATAAGGTGTAGTCCCTGGCCCTTTCAATCAGTTCATTCTACAGTTGATGTCCCTTAATGGGCCATCAAGCAGGCTTAGTGCTGATGCTATTTTGTCAGGGGGTGTCAGCCAGAAACACAGCACAAGTTTGGAAATACAGATATACCCTACAGATCTATAATTCCTAATACAAACGTGATACAAACATATAAACAAGATTATCATACTTTGCAAATCATAACATTTTCAGATACCTATATCTTACATAGCATATCTGGTCAGATTCCTTGCAATTTTACCAATATTGGTATCAACACTCTTATAAAGTGATCCATATATTCCATACAGTGTCATACCGGATACCATACTAATGTGGAGAATTAGAAGAATTCTTCCATTAACTCCGCCTCAAAGAATTCTTGCACAACAGAGATACCACCACACACAATTACCACGTCCTCACATACAGTCATAAAAAAAAAATCATCTTACTGGACACCCCACAATGGATGAAACCACACTCTTAATAATTACATTGATTGTCTCAGGAAAAAATGGACTGTGAAATCCTTAACATCACATCAGTACAATCTCTTCACCACTGAAAGGGCAGCAATACAGCCCGTGAAATCCAACCACCAAATAGTGGTTCAATAGACAAAGGGGGTGCCATTGTAGTCCTCAACCGTGATGACTACGTTACCGAAGCCAACTGACAACTCTCCGACATCACCTACTATAAAGAATTCAAAGCAGACCCCATATCACAATTTACCAAGGAATGTAAGGATATTATCCAATCCTTCTCCAAATAACTCCAAGAGAAACTCTACAACCTCATCTCCCATGAACCTACCCCAGGGACCTTTTTGCTTCCAAAATACATGAACAAGGGAACCCAGGCAGACCCATCAGATCTGGCCATGGCACTCTTACTGAAGGAATATCAGTACTCATAGAAAGCATCCTCAAACCACTCACCACACAAAGAGCCAGCTTCCTCCAGGAGACTACTCACTTCCTCCAGAAACACTGCAACATTAACAACCTCCCTCAGAACACTATCCTTGCCTACCTATACACCAACATCCCTCACAATGATGGCATCATTGCCTGCCTCCAATATT